ATCCCGCCCCGGGGCTTGCGGGGACCCCCCGCCCCGGCGCCGGCCTTTTCCCGGGGGGGGGGGGGGGCTGCGGGGCCCGCCCCGGCCGCCGCCGCCGCATCCAGCCCCTTGGGACACCTCTCAGAGCTCTGTCCCCCTTCCAGCAGCCCCCAGGCTACGCGCATTACCACTCTGCACAGCCCCCCCGCAAAGCAAGCGCTCGACACCCCCGGCACGATGCTCTCCTGCGGTGGGTTTTTTTTTTGGGGGGGGGGGTGGGGGGTGGTGCAGAAAAGCTGTTTCCGCCGCTACCGGAACGAGCGAGCACCGTGCAGGCACTCACCGCCAGCCCCCCGCTCCGCCTGGGCTGGGACCCCCTTCCCCAGCCCCGACACCCCTCCCTCCCCGGCCCCGGGACCCCCGCAGGAGAGGCGAGAGGCAGCCGGGCGGTGCGCGGGGTCCCGGCTCCACCTGCTGGGCACGGCCGGGCTGCCGGTTGCTGTAGAGCAGCTCCTGCTATGGAAAGAGCAGAAATTGCCCCCCCCCCCCCAAAGGGGAAGGGACAGCTGGGAAGGGTCAGGCCATGGCAGGGTGGTTTATCCCTCCCGGGACCCCCCTTACCGACTCGTTTCCCCATCGTTGCAGCAGGACCGACGGTTTTCTCGGCGCACGCCCGGGACAGATGGAATCGCTGCTGTCTGGGAGAAGGGGATTTCGAAGCACCCGCTGTTCCTGGTGGGGCTCTGCTTGTGATTTTCGAGAGGGATGTCTCGCAGCATGAAATCCCCCAGCAGGCTGTGTGGCAGGAGCCCAGACTAGCCATAGGGCTGCCCATTGCAAAAGCCACAACAAATGGTGAAAAAGCAGGGGGAACAAAAGCTACGCGAGGCTGGCTGCACCCTCGCCATTTGGTGCTGGTGCAGCCTGGATGGCGGGAGGCCATCACCACATGGGGTGCCATAGCGGGAGCTCACCTGTGCCCACACACCTTGGCACCGTCCACCCCAGCCACGCTCTGTCACCCCTGGGGAGGTCAGGGGCCGCCCCTTACCTGTGAGCCGTGGGGAGCTCAAATACCAAAGCCTCCCACAACAGAAAAACTAATTTTTTTAGCATTTAATTACAAACCACCCTGACTTCAGCCCAGGAAAGAGCTATGGGGAAGAGCCAGACTCCGCCATGACCATCATGCAGGAAGAAATAAAAGAGACGACTGTTTATTAAAATATACCCTCTCTGTCCTTTTCTCTGAGCCCATTTACACCCCACTCTGCGCAGGCTCCCCCTTTCCCAGCAGCACTTTGGAGTCCTCCGTGCAGCTATCGGCGCAAGGCAGCTCCGGCGCAAGTGAGCTGCCGGCGGGCAAGGTGCTGGCCTGGGTCCACTCTGAGCCCTCGCCGGCCACCCTCTTGGGCAGCAGCGGGACGTAGGCCTCCTCTGCAGGGCCGCCAAGCTGCTCCTCCAGGACGTACCTCGTCCCCCATTGTTCATTGTGGTGGACATCCACAGCCACCAGTGCCTTCTCTGCTCGGGGGGAGCAGGGCTCGGCAACGTCCCCGGGGTCCAGATCAGAGTCCACTTGGGGGAAGCCTGAATCCTGGGTGGAGTCTGGGCTCTCCTCGGGCAGGCTGGTGTTGATGTAGATGATGTCTCCGGATCCCCTGACTGTGGGCAGGTTTTCCAGCAGCTTCTCCAGATGGACCTTCAGCTGCGAGAACGTCGGGCGGGTGGTGGGGTTGGCTCTCCAGCACGCAGACATTATTTCATACCTGTAAATCAGGTGACGAGCATGGTTATTGCAGAGGATGTTGCCAGGCACTGGGCTAGGGGATGTATGGGGGTTAATTCCCTGCTTCTCTCCACTGGGTAAGCCCTGAGCCGCTTTGCATTGAAACAAAGCAAAAACAACTCCCCCCGCTTAGGCTGTTTGCCCAACGGCAGGGATTGATCAGCTCAAGCTGCTGTTGGAAGTCTTTTCTGGTGCCTGGCACTCGCTGAGGGTCAGGCAGAGGCAGCCAGCTGCAGCCCTGTGATCTGCTCCCTGGGGGAACATCCCAGTTCTGCTCCCAGGACACCGAGTCCTTCTCTTGTCCTTCCTGCAGGTGCCTGTTCCCAGGCTGGATGTCAGGGCACACTGGGAACTCCCAGCACCTCCCTGCAAGCACGTCACTGCTGGGCACATGCTGCCTCCCCTGCCCTCTAGCAGGCTAGTTCCCATAAAAGGTTTCTTTGCCACTTCCTTCAGGGACAGGCGTTGGAGAGGGGCCTTGTAGGAACCGTTGTGTGACTCCGAGCCATGGGGGGATTAAACATTTTTGGCTGTAATGGCACCAGAGAAAAACTCAGGAAGAAAACAGGAGAAAAACCCTTGCTGAGCTGCTCAGAAATGCGAAGTTTTGAGGTTTCCACATTTTCCCTTTCCAGATTCATAGATTTTAGGCACTGAGGAGTCCCGGGTAACTAGAGGGAGTTTTCTGGGGCAGAGATCATGACCAGCCAAGACTTTCTGGCCAAAACTATCTTAATTAAAAAAAAACCAAAATAAAACCAAAAAACCCTAAAAAGTCTGATTCCTCCACCATGAACTGCAGAGGGCACTGCTCCTGTCCCTGCAGGACCAGCGAGGTGACCTCGGTGCTTCCCACCCACCTCACATAGCCGGCTCCCAACAGCCCAGCTCCTCAGCCCTCTGTGCCAGCCCTGCAAGCACATCGCTTTCTCCTGGGATATTTGTTGGGATTTCTGTGCACCTGTTTGCCTGGAGTTAAGAAGATGCTTTTTCATCCCTGGGTGATACGCTGCTCTGGGATCTGGCTTTCATGTGGCACGTCAAAACTTGGGAGATCATGCAAATATTAAGGGTTTTGAAGTTTTTGGTTTTGTGCTACTTTTATTTAAAATTTGACCCATACCATTCCAGACAGCTTTCCTCTGAGAGCTAACCTGCATGTGCGTTCTTGTAAGCTCCCCGCTTGTCAACCCCACAAGGAAGAAAAGGTTAAATCCTTGCCATTTTTTTAAAAATCCAGTCTTTAATAACTGTTGTTTCTGAGGGCTGTGGGAGAAATGGAGGGGGTGAAGCAGAAGGTGACTCCTCCCTCTCCAGTACAGACCCGTCTTACTCCACTTGGAGAGGCCGGTTTGCAGCAGGTGGGAGCACAGGCATGCCGGAACGGTCTTTAATTGCTCTGTGATGCACAGCTTTGCAGGCTTTTGGCCAAATTTAGTGCTAAGCCACAAATCCACAGCACAAGTAGTTGTGTCCTTAAAGAAAGGACATCAGCAACTGAGAGCCACAAAGCACAAAGAGTAGCACCCCACAGAAACCACCTCAGCTAAGGGCAAGCGATACACAGGTCATCTGCAGGCAGACAGAGAGCAAACAGGCTGCGCTACAGCCCAGAAACAGGGTTACAATACTCACAGCTCATCCAGGCAGTCCTCGGGCTTCTTCAGGCGCTGCCCGTGGAAGAGGTACTCGTAGATCTCGTGGTTCTGCACTCCTGGGTAGGGCGTCATCCCTCGGGTCACTATCTCCCACATGGTAACGCCAAATGCCCACTGCGAGGACAAAGGGAAAGCACGCTGAAAGGACATTTCCAAGAGGAATGAATGAATCTTTTCATGGGGAAAGGTCACTGCCAAGCATCCACTGGGCCCTCACACAATGCTAAGAGTTGTCGCTCCAGTCCTGCCCTCCCCAAAATTGGTAATAATAAGCAATGCCACAGAAGAGGCGAGCGGCCCACTCAATAAACCTATTCCAGGAGGCTGGGCAGGCAGCGAAAGGTCAGTGCGTCCCGTTACCAACAGCCTCCTGCTTGTCTGGCTTTGCACTTCCAGGGTACAAGAACAACCGTAACAAAGTGCGGCAAGGGTGGACGACTCAATCCAGGGATCAGTCCCCATCTCTCGCCTCCTGCCGCCTGGCTGCCCAGCCATGTGCACCTACCACATCGCTCTTGGTGGTGTAGACGCGGTCAGCCAGGGACTCGATGGCAATCCACTTCACTGGCATTTTTGCTATTCGGCCCTGACGGTAGTAATCACCACTGTAAATCTTCTTCGACAAACCAAAATCTGCCACGCACACCGTCATATCATCCCGTAACCTGTCAGGCAGAAACAGGGATGGCAAGATAGAAAGGTTTGATGTGCCAAATTCTGAAGCAGAAACCTGAGGCTGAGCTCTTTTCCCATGTCTCTCAAGACCAAGGGAGGTTTTATTGAAGGAAGCGCAGTCATGCTGTAAACCACAGGGCTTCCACTGGTGCTTATCTATCCAGGATGAAGCAGAGGGAAACAAACTCACATGCAGTTTCGAGCCGCCAAATCCCTGTGGAGAAAGTGCCGACTGCTCAGATACTCCATGCCCAGGGCGATATCGACCATGAACTTCACCAGTGTCTGCAGGGGCACAAACTGGGAAGGGAAGGTGCGGGTTAGACAGTGGAAGCCCTTTGGGAAGCATGTTTGGTTTGATCTGAAAGGCTTCCCTGTCCAGGGCTGCCGGCTGACATCCTAGTGGTCTCACTGGCCTTGGAGAGCACCAGAAGCCCACAGCAGTGGCCACTGTGGCTCCTCTCATCCCTGTTGGGCTAAGGCCCTCAGACTGTAAGACTTATTGAATCACAAGCCTGCAGGAGCTGCAGATGCGGGGACAGTTCTTTTAGCAATAACCCCAGGCACTGTCTGACAGGCTGTGCTGCTGGCCAGAAGAGCCCGTCACAGCAAACCACATCTCGCTGTGGTTTGCTGTAGCAGTGGATACCTTTCCCATCCCCGTCTCCTCCTTCCACATCTCTGGAGTGCAGCCTGCAACTAGACATTGCTTCCTTCTTGCCTTTCCCACTGGCTGCCTTCAGATCATGTATTTTCAGCTAGAAAACAGCTCAGCAGAAAAGGACCCTGGTATAGAGCAAGTTGACCATGGTTATAGAGCAGTGCGCGTTTGTGCCAACAAAGGCCAGCCTTGTAGCACGCTGCACTAGCAAGAGCACCGTCAGCAGGTCAAGAGAAACCATTCTTCCGCTTAATTTGGCACTGGTGAGGCCACATCTGGGTGCTGTGTCCCATTTGGGGCTCCTCAGTAGGAGAAAGACATGTTGGAGCAAGCCCACAGGAGACCACTAAGACAGAGCTGGAGGAGATGGTGTACAAAGAGGGGCTGAGATAGAGGGCCTGGAGAAGGGAAGACAAGAGTCTCACAAGCTTTTGTGGAGCTGGATCCCACCACTGCCACCTGACAAAGGCAGGAAGCAGGACTACAACCAAGTCCTCTTATGTTCTCAAAAAACAAAGGCAGATTTGTCCCCAAAAGAGGCACAGTCCCGCCTTGCTCCTTGCAGACTTGGGGCCCTCCGCTCCCCGTGCTCATTACCTGGGGGGCCATCTCCAGCCGTGAGCGAAGCAGGAAGCTGTGCAGGTCACCGTATTTCATGAATGGGAGAATCACCATAGGCTTGGGGACCTGCTGGTTGCTCAGCTCGATGCACACACCTGGAAAACACAGACAGGTTGCACAGCCCTGTGTGCAAAGGCATCACACTCCCCCCCCAGACATCTGTGCGGGACCTGAGCACTCCCCAGTCCGGCTCCCCAGCCCAAATCCCAACTGGAGTGCAAGGAGTAACAGCC